AATAAGTGTGCAATTGAGCAATGCCAGATAATAATCAGAGGACACATTTGTTTTGAAACTTAATAACAAGTAGTTAAATATAAGGCTTCCCAAACTTGCTTGTTTATATACTAAAATCTTATTTTAGCAGCATTCTCACCAATAAAGCTTGGAAAAACACTGGTATGTCTTCCTGCTCCACTATAACCTCTGCTGCTGGCCGAGTGATAAGGAAATGCATTAGGACACAGCTATAGCAATGATTCTTCTTTCTCGGACTCACACCTCTCTCCTCCTGCTTCAAGGCAAGAAGGATAGTTTTACTCAGCATCTGTTCTTGAGAAAATGCTAAACTGGAACAATCAAGGTAGGACAAGGAGACAGTGTCAATCACTCCTAAATAACGTAAATAACGTAAACGTCTTGGTCTTATGCCAGGGCTTCAGTCAAAAAAATTTTTTATTAAAATCCATGAGCTCTCACTGTATGGAAGCTAAAATTCAAGCACGGTCAAGATCCTAGAGGATTACTTCTGAATAGTGGAGGGACATTTTCCCCCACCATTATTATCTTTCAATTATCCTTCTCTAAGCAAATGCAACTTTGGCATTCCTCCTGCAGATCTGTTCTAGGTCCACATTTGCTAGATACACATCTATCTGACCCCATCAGCTACAGACCTAACAGTAGCCCACTTCAAGTTGAGCAGAAAAATCCACTATGTTACACAGTAAAAATGTGTCATTGTTTCTTAAAATGAGCTACAGTTGACTATCCACACACCATTAGCACTCAGATACAAGAGCTGCATTAGAATCAAATATATTCCCCAGGCAACCTGATCTAGCTGTGGATGTCCCTGTTCACTGCAGGAGATTTGGACTAGATGGCCTTCAGAGTCCCTTGCAACATCTAAGGATTCTACAATACTAGGAAAACTACAGTAAATACAAGGGAAACAAGAGTGCATATAGGCTCACTTAAAGAGTAAATGAGATTATTTAGAAAAAAAAAAAAAGTTCTCAAAAAACATACTTTTACCTTTAAAAGCAGCAGTGACCAGTATGAAATAATCACCTTTTAGATTGGAAATTTAGCTCTTCCACAGGTCAAAAACCATCAGGAAATATACTTTGTGCCTTGTAATTGTTTATTTTGGAGAGTTACATAATAAAAGAATAACCTTAATTTTTGGAAATGAACAGCTGGTTTTATTTTTCCATAAGGAATTTGAATGTCAAAGAGCCAAACACAAGTGTTTTCCTTGGTGCTCTCACCATTCTAGTCTCAATTGTTTATCTAGAACAATTCTTACAACTTATCCTTTATTTCCACTCCATCTGTACAAATGAGGTAGCTCAGGGTAAAAGAAAACAAATCAACCAGAAACAAAGTCACCACACAGTCTTCAAATTCTTCTTTAGGGCTCAATTTAACTATTATGCCAATAGGTTACCAAGCAGCTCTTGGTCAGTGTCCTCTGACCACTGTTTAGTTCACCCCTTGTACTGGTTAATTTCTGCAAACCTCCACACTTGTACTTCCCCCACTTGTGTTTTATGCTTCTACCTTGAAAATGTTTTAGGTCAAAGCACAGATAAGATAATGTTGGTTTCTGCCTTCTGCCAAAATACTATGGCAACAAGAACAAATAACTGACAAGAGACAGCCACGGAATCACGTATTTAGAATTCTAATTGAGAGATGGAGAGTTAGCAATAGCATACTTGTTTCCACAAGGGTATACACAAGTCAGCAAACTGAAGGACGTGAAATGTTGGTATCACTGGTGTTTGGCTGAATGTACGATGAAGAAAACTGCAGTACTGAAAGCTACAACCAAGTGTTCCTTCCAGAAAACAACCTAAGGCCCTAGCAAAGATGCACATGAAATAGAAGGCACCTAGCAATACAAGATGCACCTAAAACACACAGATGTAATTCAGAGGCTTAGAAAGACCAGCAGAAGTAGCCACACTCAGTAGGCAAAATGATGCTCCTTGTCATTTGGAAACAAAGAAAAAAAAGATTCTATTACTCATGTACAGAAAGAGGTGAAATGTGGCTCTTGTACACAACACTGATGAAGTGTTTTCTACTGGGGAAAAAAAAAAAAAAAAAAGAGATTCTTATTACAGAGGGACAATAAGAATTCTGGTAGCTATGTGAGACCCCCAACCCAGTCACCAGTGGGAAATTACCTTATAATCAGGCACACACTTCTAAGGTGGGAATGACTGTTTTTAACACATAAAAATAAAGCTGATGTAGGTGATTTCAGAAGCTGTATTTGTCTCTGATCAGTGGTAATGCTGCTTAAAAAAGCTGAGCATGAGAAAAAACAAAAGCAAATGAATATTAAAACTATAGCAGGTAACATTCTACCAGTGTATTTAATAAGATGGGAGTAGCAAAGTAAGCCATAAATGCATTTTGGTACTGCTTTGTGAAACTGTGACAGCAGAGCTGAAGAAACAAGTTCTTCTTAAGACTTGTTTGCTAAGCAAAAGAAATAGGAAAGTCTAAACCACAGATTAGATATGGAAATACAAAAAACAAGCATTTGGTTAAAATCCCATTCTGTCCAGCCAGATGCAAGAAGAGAGTCTGTGCCAAGCACCTTATTCTAATCTTCCAAAGTAAACTATAAAGACAAACATAGGAAAGCATTCTTTCTTAAAGATACCTTAATAATATAAAGAACCGAAGTGTTTATGAAGTCATAAAGTTATCCTTCATGACCGCATATTTCAGTTTTGTTTGTGCACATGCTGTATTCATTGCTTGTTTGTAAATAATCTTTTAACATATGCCTCTCCTGTCACTGTTAGCATCCAGTTTTACCCAAATTACAACCTTAAACAAGTTATAAGTATAGAAGCAAAGGAAGGCAACTACCCTATAGTAAAAGGGATCAGAAATTTTCATTTCTACTGGTCCCCTTGTTTTATGTCAAAAGAAAGATCTATATCACTATGCAAGATAAGACTTCCTATTTTCCATAGAGCTGATAGAGTTTTTAAGAATATTTCCAAAACACACAGAAAATATTAGAAACTAATAACCATCTTTTTTCCAAGAAGAAAATTTTCAAAAAAAACCCAAAGAAATCAACATTAATATTAGCTTAGAGATACTTACAAAGGCAACAAGCCAACACTGAATTCTGGGATATAGTAATTAGGTTTGGTTCCGCACATCTGATCGGTCTTCAGATCCCATATTCATTCCATAGAAGTGAATTAAGTTCAAATAAAAGTTAAATAAAAGATAGAAAGGTGGTGGTTCAAGTTAGGAGGTTTCCTGTGATTTACTATTTAATAAAGCACTCCAAATGGCAAAGACCTCTCTTTACTTGACCATTAATTACTGCCTCACCTTCAGCTGAATGAGAGGTATCCAGTTTCATCCAGTAACATCTCTACGCAGCACTGTCCACAAGTCTTAAGATAACAGCATGCTATGAAGAGGAAGGCAACTACTCCCATTCCTAGAGGTACAGAAAAATACATCATAAAAGCATACCAAACCCAAAGGTCTTTCTACATCACTAATGAAAATTTTACTTTGAAAATACTCATTCTGTTAAGAAAAACCAATACAAAAAGAATATTTTCATTGAGGTTCCCTGGCCCGCACTGAATATGAATCTGCTGCAGCAATAACCTGAAGGAAAAAGGGTACCTACAAAAAGTTACATTTGCACCTCAGAGAAGGCTCGAAGGAGATAAGATCTACTTGATGGTGAAACAGAGCACTGTGCAGTCCATAGGAAGCAACAATATCACAAAGAATCCATAACCATCCATAATTTTTTAGCTTTGACACAAAAGCTTTCTTCTCTCTCTCTGTCTCACATTCAATTTCTGTGAAACCAGTAGAAATTTTTTTTTTTTTTAAGTAATTTTTTTGCACTGTTGCTAAGTCTGTGCTTTCCTCTCAATTTTACAGGGAAAACAGGCAGACTGCTAGACAGCATATTTTCAAGAGCTGGCAAACATATTCTAAATAAGTCAATTACATAAATTAGTGATATATATATTACCAGTCAACTATTTAAAATAAAACATGTATTTCCAAATCTGAAAAATTTCACAGCAATAACATTTTGTAATTGATACTAAGAGTAATGAGGTTATTTCTTCTTTGTGAGCCCAAAAAAATTTTAATATGTTTTACTCCTCTCTTTTATCATTGTTTTAGGCTGCTCAGTAAATTTGTGCTCTTGTGTTCTCTTTTTCTCAGCAGAAAGTGCAACCTATTCACGTATTTAAGAGTATTTTACAGCAAGATTTTCACCATTTTCCTCAAGAACTCCACTAGCAGGTATATCAATATAATAATGAAATTTTTTGTCTCACTGACAAATAAATGAAAGCCAGTAGATAAAAAAAGGTATGTGAGCTTTCTGACTGGCTCTGATTTTCTTGGTATATAGTGGACTAGAGTGAACTCTGGGACTTGGGGCACCTCACTGCCTAGAGCCGGGAAGGAAAAGGAAACAAACAGAAAAAGACAGGAGAGTAATCAAACCAGTACACCATAGATGGATAACCGAAAAGGTTACAAACCAGCTTTAACATTCAGATGGCCTCTGGGCCTCAAGGCACCAGTGGCAACAGCTTTCAGCATGCATACAGTAAAACACATGACTTTGCCTTGAGAGCCCTCTGCCTGTCAGAAAGTATCCTACCACCTGCTAAAGTAAACAGCTTTGTTTTACAACAGATTCCTCTTCCTTGGTACCCTCAGGTAAGTCACAGGACTCCAAACCGGAAAGCTTATTTAGGGGTTGATGCCCAGAGTCAATCTTGTTTTTATCTCACATGCTGGATTCGATTAAGATAATTGCATCTGAGGAGCATTTAGAAAACACTGTTCCTACCCTGTCTTTCTAGCAGCTTCGTAATAGAGAACGTCTAAGCCAGAAACCCTCATCTGGATCCATGACTCTTTGTCACCGGTGTCAACCAGTTCCTTTACTGTCCATTTGGTGTTAGGGCAGCTGCCCTTTGGCCTTCACCAAGTGGTTATCTAAAAGTGAGAGAGAAGGGATTCTGACACTTCATTAACTTTCCTATGCAAAAGAGCAATTCTACATCATGTCTTTGCAGAGCAGATGCTTCTTCCCATCACTTTGGAATAATGCTTTTTGCATAGAAAGAACAGCTGATCCAGTTTTGTCTCAGACTTTCAAAAAGGGTAAGGGAGACTGAAAACTAGATAGTTTTAATGCCTTGCTTTATGTTCTTCTGACACAAATTCTGATCAGGCTTCCCTTGAGGTGCTTTTTGCTGGCGTTTGTTTGTTTTTGAAGTTCCTGGATCACACACACATTGAGGTTTCAGAAATGAAAAACAAAAGGAAGAATGCACAAGAAATAATAATAAAAAAAAAACCCTAAAGGTTTACACTTAACAAAAGTGCCAGAAACATCAATTTTCTTCTTTGCAACACACCAGAGCACCTTGTCTACACAGTCAAAAGTCTATCCAGCATTAGCAGCTAGTGTAGCATCATTAAGGCTAGCTCTGGAGAGTTCAGTGGAGTAGGCAGCAAAAAGAAATTCAGACATTAAACAAATTTTGTGGAATGTGAGGAACAAGAAGTCCATGACTTTCCTTGATGGTAACATACTGTGCTTGCTTGCTAAGAAGATACACTTGACCCACAGCAACATGATGCTTTTAGCCCTCAAACTGAATTAAAAATACTAAGGAGAATATTTCCCCACACATGCTGGTTTTTAATATTAAGGTTATAAACATCTAAACGCTCATGTTCTCTGTGCTGCTGCAAGAAAGTACTCATCCACAGTGCCTTCGCAACAGGACTGGACTTCCCTGACAGGAAGGCAGCATTGGCAGCACTGCCAAATCAGTTATTTGCACCCAAATGGTAAGTAGATGAGCAAAATGAGCAAAGATCTGTATAGGAAGAGCTAACAGATAAGCTGTACCCTCAATAAAGCAGACTACCCTAACACACTCACGTAAAAAGGCCACATCCCTTATTTATAATGCCAAAACTGGGAACAAATGAAGCTCTCATTAAACCCAATAACACAGACTTGCTGGGAGCGCAGACACACTTGCAGCCTCTGAAGAAAACTGAGTGTATGCACACATTAGTCGTGTGACTTCCTCCTTCAAGGCAGGAGGTCTTCTTACCCAGTTTTCCTCGACCAGGTAAGAGCTTTTACAAATCTGAACAAATAGGCAAATTTTACTTGCCTATACTGCCTTCCACACAAAGATCTCAAAGAACATACTACATAGGTCCCACCCCCCTTGTGAGGTAGGTATTATCCCTGTTATTTACAGATGGGGAAATTCAGGCACGGAGAGGTTACATTATTTGCCCAAGGTCACACAGTGAGTCAGTGACTAAAGAAGACAGAATCCAGATGTTCTGATTCCTATTTGCACAATCCAACTACTAACAACGCAAGTCTCAATTTCAAAAGAGCCTTGAACAAGTAGCAGCATGCACAGGAACCACCTCGGGTTTACAGGGCCACTCCTAAAAAACATGAGAAACAGGAAGAAAAACAATGAGGGGCATAACTTTCTTTAAAGCTGCGTGTTGCTTGCAGAAGTTAGAGTTCCTGTCCATTTCCCTCCCAAAGCTGAGGCAACTCAACTATGAGTCTGTGACACAGGGGGACAAAAAAAGAGGCTAATGGAACCACAGCTAGAAACAAAATAACAGGCTGAAGTAAGTAGTCATAACACCCCCAGTCACTATTTTAAAAGCAAAGGGTCATGAAAAAATAGGAATGAGAGGGTCCTCAAAAGATCATTGAAGTCCACTCACCCTGCCTTGAAGCCAGGATCAACTACACCTACTCATTCCCAACCATCCAGTCTCTTCTCCAAGACCTCCACCAATAGAGACGCCACAGCCTTCCTCAGCAATCCACCTTACACTAGGACATGAACAAAAGAGGGCAAGAAAGAGTAAGACTGCTACTTCTGCTCCTTCAGTGGGGGCACCATGATTCCCAGGCCTATCTAATGACACGTTTCAGAGAAGGTAGTCTCCAAATATTTACTTGTTTCTTTCCTGGAATTTTTGGGAAAAATAAATACTGGCATCTGCTGTATTACAGCATTTGAGTTTTGAAAATACTGATGAATACCAGGATAGATACTCACTGCAAGTGCCAAATCCTACAAGGTCAGTAACAAAGACTTCGATATGATAATTTTAGCTTACTGCAGATACAAACTGCAATAAGGTGACAGGGAAGACTACAGAAAAACCCCACAGCAAAGTCAGCAGCTCTGAGTCGCCAAATTACACCCAACTGCAGACAACAATCAGGCAGTTAAACAACACCTTCAGCAGAGGCAGCACCATACGATCTCCGTAGCATCTAACTCATCTGTCTTCAAAGTGCATTCTCAGTGCAAAAAGTAGAATTGAATTTAGAGGGGCTTACTGTCCCGAGTGAATTTCATACTAAGACCAGAATTCTTGCTTGAGTTCATATGCTGTAGCTTTGTGTGTGTTAAGTTCACTTCTGCATAGCGGAATGGTGCTGTCTTGGCTCTGTCCCTCAGCATCTATGTCCAACAGTGTCCGCTCCTCTACAGGATGACTCCCCTGGAAAGGAAGCAGTGCAGGAAGTCCAGGTCTCTCTTCTACAGTGCTGCTGCTACTAGCAAAACAAGAGTCCAGATTGCTTGGAGTGTCAGTACTTGAACTGTTGGCAGAAGATTCACCCTTGGCATTGCTGGGTGACACAAACCACCAGGGATCAAGCCGCTGCCGGCTGGCTGCGGGCCGAGGCCGAGGCAGGAACTCCAGGGTCTTGGGTCTTTCCAGCGTGGGGTCCTGCTGTGCATTCCATCGTCTCGGGGTTGGAGGAAAAACAAGGTTGGGATCTGGCAGGCGAGGGACCTCATTTGGATCTCTACTTGGACTAGGTGTTTTTAATACACCTATCCAAAACAGAGAATGTGAAAGAAGAGGGAAACATGTTAGATGTCACTTCTAAAAGGTTCCGACAAATCTTATCGTACGTACACTGCGAAAACACTTTCAAAGCAGAAAGCCTCCATTCAGAACCTACAATCTCCATATCTTCAAGACTGAAGAGAATAACTGGTTTCTTTATTCCTATATCGTTCTCAACACATTGTGAAACACCTGATTCACTTGCCTTGCATAGGCAGAGTATTTTGTTCATTCTCTGATTTGTTTTCTTCATTCTCAGACTGCACAGCATGGATTTGACTTCCTATCAGAGGTAAGAACTCTCCAAATCCTTTGGAAGGCACATTATCCATTAAAAGCTTGAATGGATGGGGGAGACACTTGCACAGCAGGATGTGCGACACCTGTTTGCAGCGAGTTAGACCAACTCCCTAGAAGAGTCATTTAACAAAATCTAATGCAGACACTTCCTGTTTTTCTTGTTTGGTTGTTTTTAAAATAGAACAAAATTTTTCGTGAATATTTTAATGAGCATTAACCCACATCTTGCTGCAGACTTCCATTCAACAGACAATGCCACATTTCATTTAGTCTAACTAAATCAGACTTAATTTTCACATTCTAGTCTTTTCTTTTCTTATGAATTACTAGGGGAAAAAAAATAGGGAAAGCATTAAGTTATCTAGTCACAGCCACTCCTAAAGACTGTAACAATGAGAACATTACCTACCCAAGAAAATCCCTCTGGCTTGTGAAGGAATAAGAGCAAGAGCAGCAGAGGCCCCACACTGCTTTAGAGATTCAGTCTTCACTGCCTTAAAGATTATAATTTGCTTTAAAGTTGTAATAGCAAAACAAACAAGTGCATAAAGGCAACAGAGATGGAATTCTGCGAAACTATTAAAAATGAACAGTATTTGTACCTTGGTGCAATAACATGGCTCTGCCTCACAACATGATGCAGAGAGTTCCTTGGTGTATAGGTGATGGAATAGAGACTGTTACTGTATTGTTCCAGTCATTATTTTTGTAAAGACAATATCCACGAGCCTTGCCTGTGGGCTGGCAACAGATGCTGTATATGCAATATGCTCACTTCCTAACAAGTATCTATAGTGTTTGGGCCCTTCTTCTGAAGAAGAAAAGGAAGATGGCTGAAAACCTACCTGCTCCCAGTGCTCCAGTTAAACAGCTACTGGAAGGGCATCCACTGGTTGGGCACCCATTGACAACTAGTCCAGTCCCTTTGATGGCCCCATCAGAAGGTGTGCGCCTGTGCCCGCCTTGCTGGGTGTGGGAAGAGACCGTCACATGCGTGGGAGTGAGGGACTGGTTGGGGTCTTGTTTGAATCTCTCAATCTGGACATTAACTAGTGGGTTATTAATGGCTGGCAAGGGAGCCTTGACTGTCACAGGGCTGACAGGCATTTCGTATACCACAATCTCATCACTGTCTGAGCGCAGCAGGGATCGGGTGGAATTACATTCGGAAATGGAAGACAGGGAAAGAAGGGTGAGGGATGTGGATGGCTCGCCAAGCAACAACATGGGCTCATCTTTCTTGAAGATTTTTCGAGAAGGAGGGCTAGTGCTCCTGCGTGGGCGCCCAGCTCGCTGGAAAATGCTGTCACGTTTCTTCTTCTCTTCCTTGGGTGGCTCTGGCTCCTCTTCAATCAGCAGCTGACACTTCCCCGCTTCTAGCAGATCGAACCCCAGGCCTGCAGCAGCCAGAACCGCTCCACAGCCAAGCAAGGCAACCTCGCACCGTTTGTGGTGGGAGCCACTACGTTTGAGGCTGTTGGTGGGTGTAAGCTGTGGGGTGCTTGTAGCAGAGTTCACAGGAGTGGACTCATCATTGGCATCACTAGAAGGCCCATCCCAGTCATCATTCTTCTGAAACGGGATGCAGAGGTATGACTGGTTGTGCCCAGGTGAAGGGTGCACTTTGCCCTCCCCATTAAGACATTCACTGTCTTCATCATCTGGAAAGCAAATGAAAAAAAGTACTTTGCATGGATGCAAGACTTTAGCTAATTTCACCAAGTTTTACAAATACACATGAGAGTTAAGCTTCTTCTCAGAAGATGCAACTATCCTTCTCACTAAGAGCACTGTTTACCAACTGCCAAATGCTCACAAGGTACTGATCCCAAAACAGACAGGTTGAGACAAGTACCCAAAAACTCCAAAGAAGTTACTGACACATTGATTTTTTCATGAGCCATTAAGGAAAGAGCATACCAGAAGCGATATATGCTCCAGTTACCTCCAAAGTTTGTACTATGGGGGTGATGAGTGAAAAGGTAGGAAAATGGTAAGAATCTCTCCTTGGCAAGTAAGGGTGTAACCATACTGCTCATCTAAATATTAACAGGAAAGGAGTTGAAAGGAGTTGAAAGCATGGAAAGAAGAGGGGAATTGGGAGAAGCTTGCTAGCTTGTAAGAATAAACAAAAAATTAAAATCCAAAGTGAAGGTACTTATTTCACTAAGAATACAGTAAAAGCAGACACCATCAAAATGAAAACATTGCTTAAGGTGAAGACAAGGAAAAGTTCATTCAATGGACATTCAAAAGTTCATGTGAATGGAAGCAGAACAGCAAAGCGGAATATCAAACAAGAGAATATCAAGTCCAGGTAAATACTTTACCCATCTCTGCTAAGCTGGTGAATCCTGGAAAAGCAGGTGCAGTTCTCTGAATCTTCCCTAGGTTTGGTGCACTGGATGACCACTGTTTGTATCCTTCTACCAGAGCTTTCAGACTGAAATAATAGAAAGAATAAGATCTAGAGTGCTGACAAGAAACTACCTCCTCCCTTTTATATTCTCTATCGCTCTATTTAGGGTATGCATTAATCCATCTCAATTACATAGATTTACAATCCTGTGCTAGCGAGATATTTTACAACACTTCCCTCATTTGTGACAATTTGTAACAGTCAAAAGATCTCTAATGATAAACAATAGCTATGAATGCATGGTAATACTAAGTACTATGACAGAAATTAGATGAGAGAGTTTCTTCTAAGGCAAACGTGCCATGGCAAGTACAAAATAAAGTGCTCAGTAGGAAGAGGGGAAAAACAGCTCTAAAAACATTTCCACATGAAATACAAGTGAAAAGTGAAAATCAAAAAACACTCAGTGGGAATATAGTTTGTTGAAGTCATAACAACAGCCATGCTTCTATATCATAAGAATATATTACATTCCTCTAGAGAAAATATTGTTTTGAAGTACAAAAGGTTAAAAGCATAAGCTACAGACTATGAAAAAATGAGTAATTACACACCATGGTTCATGTTATTCTCTTGGTTACAGACCAAAAATACAAAAAAACAAAAACAAGCAAAAAAAAACCAAAGTAAATCCCTACATCGAAGTCATCTGAGTTTAAAGGCACCTTGCTTTGCCCCTAAGCTTATTAGTAGTCCTGTTAACAGATATTCACTGTCATCATCCTATACGTATTCTGCACCACTTTCACAATATCAGAAACAACAACAGTAAACTGCACAATTTTGACACCTCAACAAGCCAAGCAGATTTATTTTTCAGTCAACAGTAGTCTCCAAGCTGATAGTTTTGTGGCGTCCTTCTACGAACTCCAACATTAAACCCATCAATGCTGGTGAAAAGCTTAAAAGCACTTACTCAGAAAATTGAATGAAAGAAGACAACATCTGTGGATTGTCTGAATGATCTCAGATGGACATAAAACAGCATGTCTGTTACTGGAAGAACTGAAGAGACGAGACCTCTTTCAGCAACATGATCAGCTTTGAGAAGACAGCTTACATATGCTCATATTCTCCCTTCTTTCCAAGGGAAGGATTGTGATCAAGACCCTCTCCTTATTCTCATTTTTCACTAGAATCACTCTGCATTTGTAAGATTACTTCCACGGCAGGATTTCAAGGTCATATTATATCAAGGTGGTAAGGATTTTTTTTTCTTGGTTTGTATTTTTCCTCTATTCTCAACCTAACTGACTAGCTCGACCATACTAGCTATATTTTTATTGGCAAAGTCGTAAGGTCTTAGCTTGATTTAGTACTTGTTCAGCTGGTTGAAGATCAACCTATAGACATGACTTTCCAAATGTTCTTTCTATTCCCAACATTCAGGAATAGTTTCAGATCACACTAAAAGCATCTCATACAGCTCCCATCTATCTTCAGAGCTCATCATTCTCCCATCCTTAATCGTTCTGGCTGAATCCTCTTTGTCAAGAAAGAAACCACATGATTTTACAACATAAGTCCAATTTATTTCCTCCACACTACATTCAGCTGTGAAATGAAATGCAGCAGAGAATGCTTACTGTATCCATATTATCTGTGTGTACAACATATATAGTTAGGATAAACATCGTAAAGCAGACTCACATTAAGAGAAAGCTGGTGAGTGAGAATGAATGATATTAGCAGCATGATCATGTCTAAGAGAGTGTGTCAACACAGAACACAGGCAGACAACTACTGAGGGAGTCTTCAGTGGGGCAGTGAAAACACTCTCTGTGCAAAGAGAGCAATGACTACAGTCATATGTAACAGGCAGCAGTGATCTTCAGTTTAGGCTTTACTTCATAGTTAAGTACATGCAGCCTTGGAAAGTGCCTTTTATTATACAGGAGGGCACACAAACTTCTTGACTTCTCAGAAAAATCTTCCCTTGGCAAAACCAGACAGATTTGCTTCTACTCACATAGCACAGTTTAACCTGAATAGAAATACAAATGGCTACCAGAATAATTTTGTGACTTGCTAGATTTCTTTTTAAGTTACAAAGTCCATATTTTCGCTCCTCCTCTCCCCGAAATTATAAGCAACGCTACAAGGAGACTCTGAAGATCTGTGCAGAGGATATTCCTGAGAAGACACTAAGATCACAACTGAATTTTCACAATGCTATTCCAGCATAAAGCTTTATCCAGTCTCAGTAATTCAGCATAGCAACTGCTGAATTCTGCTGCTATGTGTATTTCTTAGGCTCAAACATAAATGCAGAAGGATGAATAACAAGTCATCTCCTGAAGATTAACTTTTCTTAAAGTTAATTACAGGTAGGTTTACTCACATTAGACATTTTCATAGCAACTCCTATAATGCAATTCTTGCATAAAAATCTGATAATAATCTTAAGGAAAAATACATGGAAAGTGATGAAGATGAATATTCATGTTGGCTTGGCCAAAGAGCTACATAAGCATGTGGAATAGTAGCACTGCTGCTACCCAAGCAGTGTCATGGGGAAAGCTTAAACTGGACTCTTCTGTGCTAAGTCCAGCTCTTCACTTAAATCTAATATCCTATCCTACCAAATTAGAAATAGATTAAAAAAAAAAGAACTAAAAAAACGCAAGTACTCTATCATCTGAAGCACTAATTTTTAATGCAGTCCTATTCTATTTAAATAATCTGCAGTGCGACATGATCTTTTTTGGTATCTAACAGGCCGTAAGAAAGAAGGCAACAGACTCTTTAGCAGGGTCTGTTGGGATAAGACAAGGGAAAACGGTTTCAAAGTAAAAGAGGAGAATTTTAGATTAGATATAAGGAAGAAGATCTTTAAAAATACAGGTTGTGAAGCACTGGCACAGATTGCCCAGAGAGGTGGTGGATGCCCCATCCTTGGAGACATTCAAGGTCAGGCTTGACAGAGCTCCAAGTACCCTGATCTCACTGTAGGTGCTCAGGTTCATTGAAGGGGAGTTGGGCTAGATGGCCTCTAAGGGTCCCTTCCAACTCAAATGTTTCTGTGACTCTATGATCTCAGTGAAAAACAGTTCATTAATGTTAACCACACTGTCCTCTCAGCAATACTATCACATTTCAAGTACTCTGCAAAATGCTGTCATCTTACTAAGAGCAACCACAGTTAGGAAGTAACCCTTTTTCAGGAGTCCATGCTCAAAAACAACTTAGTTCTTCAGATCATACAAGAAGGAACAGGAAAAAAAAAAAAATCATCAGAAAAAGGGGCTTATTTCCAAAATTCAGAGCATTATTTCAAGGTAGAGGCGTTGTTCTACCAGCTTCACTCATCTCCTTTTTTTAAGAAAAATTAATCAATGACTGTAAAAAAGGACATCAGTTTTAATTCTGAAAAATACAACATTCCATCTATAGAACAGCAAGCTGAAGTAGCTTCCCCCATATTGCCCTGTTAAAACACATGCTAAGAGTACCTTGGATGGAGAATGCAGCTTAGTGCCACTGAATACTTCAGTCTAGGTGTTCCTGTACAGTATTGTAGTGATGACACAGTACATAAACATCTATTTGCCGAGAGTTCCATGCTCAAACACCTAATATTAAATTACAATCATTGACCTTATTTTCCCTGCTAAAAAATATAGCTGAAGTCAAACTATCAATTTAGCAGTGGAAGTTGCTTCAGATTCTACTAAAAGACAACAGGTACTCAAACCTCTCAAAGTCTTAGATTGTTACAATATTCCTATACTTCAAGTGAAAGTAAAAAAATGAAGTCGCAAAACAAGAATCTATAGAAAAGGGCCAGGTACAACTTGCACCTGTGCTAAAAATCACTCAAAATCTGCTAAACTTCACTCAAGGTGTATATGTACTTTTCAAAAGCTGGAAGAGAAGATATTTGCCTGGTTCTGTCCGATGCTTTTTAAACAACAGCATATAAAAGACTGAGAGAACATAGCTGAGAATTATAAAATAACTATTCTCAGGTGTAATATGAAACAACAAAGTTAAGCCTGGAAAAAAAAAAAAAAAAAAAAAAGCTACAGACAAAAGAATAGCTGCAGAGAAACAGCTAAGGAGAAATTCCACTCAAAATAAAAGTAAGGTAATGGCAGACGGGGAAAGCATCAGGTCAGGGTTAGACCCCTAGCAAGGAAATGAACACAACAGTTCTCTCATCTGTTTAAAATTTCTAAAGCGTTTGCAACAGCAAATATGTAAGCAGAAAAGTGCTTGCAAGAGGACAGGCAAATCTCCTGGGAAACCGTCATAACAATCAGTTTCAGAACATGGACATCAATCTAATTCCCTCCTCTTACCTGTCCTCTCCTGCACCTAGCTCCTTGTGACAAAGTGAGCTTGGTCCCCAGGTGCGTCCTTTTTTCTTCTGGCCTCTCTTCTCTTCTTCCTCTCCTTCCTCCTTTGGAAGGACTGAGTTTCGTCCCCATGTTTTACTGCTTTCAGCAGGAGTCACTTCATAAGTAGGAAAAAGAGTGGAAAATGGGAAAAAAAGGTACACACATGGGTCCCAATGCAATGTAAAGAACACGAACCAGAAGAATGTTAGAATGAAAATGTTCATTCAGAGTTATTTCCCAAAATTCTCATCATGCATCAACATTGATCTAGCATATAGATCTCTTCAAAATGACTACAGATAGGCTTTAGTTTAGTACTGTTTTCTCCTTCAGAAGAATTAGTTTGATGTCAGAAACACAAGAATTGTGACATCCAATGCAAACACTAAACATTAACATTCCTTTCATACTTCTAATACACACTTATCTCCCTAATTCTGGGTTATTAGGGGAACACTATTTTAATGATAAGCACCCCTGGTTCTCTTTCTCCCCATTAGTAACTTAATCTACTTCAATAACGTTGCACAAATCTACTCTGCAGACTAACATTCTAAACATTAGCCTACAGACCCAAAGAACATGTTCTCTGTAAAATCAAGCAGCAATCTTTCAAGAGTATAGGTAAGGCTCAGACTCCAAACAATACCAAACTCACCACCCTCCCAGCCAATTGTCAAAACACCATTTTTCTCTCTCTAAATTCATACATGCAAGGGCACAAAGCCAACATTTTAGGAACATTTCTTTTTACAGTCCTGTCCTAGATATGGAATCTTGGCATCTTACCACGCTGACAGACTGCACATTTCCCAAATTCAATACTACATTGAGCTCCTTACACTGTATGGCCCTGAGTCTGGGAATAATGGTAGGACTTGCAGGAGGGCTGGAGCAGCTACTGATCAAGCTCTTCCTTTTATCCATTGTTGGAGAAGCCTGCACAGTGAATTTATGCTGGAAATCTGTTACCAAAAGAAAAAAAAAAAAAATAATCAACACAGAAGCAGAAAAACAGCTAAAATCCTTTTTTAATACAAGAAAAAAATAAATAAATAACTGTCGATGCTAACTTATAATATGTGAAATTTTCAGGGTCTGTATAGAAAATGTTCTACAGGACAAAGAGATGCTAACAAAGGAAAACACTATGTGACTTCTCAGACAGACTGCCAGTATTTAAGGTTTATTTTAAGGGTTACATTAGAAGTCACTTGTGTGTTGAATTAACATGTGAAGTTGTGTAATGCCACAGTATCAAAGTTTTCAATATTTCTGATAAGTTTTTGATTCTTGCCTCAAGAAATCTGATAGCTTACAGATTCAGCTGCAGTATTATGTAAAATATTCCCAGAGCAGGAACATTTGCTTAAAACAACCAAACAAAACAATATCCTTTATTCAAATTATTATTTTGAGCACTAATGTATTAAATTGCAACATTTTTACTATCAATTGTATACACTAAGAAACATCTAACATTACAATCCCACTTCTTGGCTTTATAATTTGACCTGTTCCCTTTGAGGAATGCTAGCCACAAAAGCATGAATTTTAGTTCCTAGATGCCAAAGGTATGTTTTTTGTAATTTAAAATGTGCAAGTATGAGCACAAAGAAGACACCAAAGCTACGGGTTTTCACATACTCCTCCCATCTTGCCTTATTTGTCTCACCAACCTGAAGGCAGGCTGATATTATTGCCATCTTTTAACTTGAGCCGACTTTTCTTGAACTTCCCCATACGTTTCTTCACACGAGGCTTCTCCTGACACAGCTGGTGGATGATGATGTTGAGCTCCCTTTCCAGGATGTCAATCTCACGTTCTGCCAGCTCCTGTTCCCGCCTTCGGAGCAACTCCTCATGGTTCTTCTGTTCAACAGCAGCACGAGTCAGCTCTTCTTCCCATGTGCGAAGCTCCTGTAGGGGGATCAGAAAGGAGAAAGAAGAATAGCTATCTTGTGACCTGTGGGTTAAGGCTAACAACACCTATTCTGAAGGTACAGCAGCACTGACTTTTGTTCTCAGCACAGCTAATGCCACTGTTCAAGACTCAGCTGAACATCAATAAACTGAAAACAATACTTAAGAAATTCTGTGATTGCCATTGGAGGCCCTTCAAATCACTGTTAACATACAGACATTAAAAAAAAAAGTGGAGAAAAACTTTCTAATCAGCACTCATAAGACCACATCTGGTGTACTTTCTGTCTCCTTAATAAAAGAGAGACATAGACATATTGGAGAAAGGCCAGTAAAGGGCTACTGAAATGGTGAAAGAACTGAGGCATCTCTTCTACGAGGAAAGGCTGAGAGAGCTGGGACTGCTCAGTCCAGAGAAGAGAAGGCTCCGGTGTTTCTTATCAATACATACAAATATTTAAGGAGAGGATGCAAAGATGACAGCACCAGATTGTTCTCAGCGGTGTTCAGAGATAAGACAAGAAGCAGTGGGCACAAACACAGAAGGCTGTCTGAATATTAGGAAGCTTTTTCATACTATGTGAGTGATGGAGCACTGGCACAGGCTGCCCAGAGAAGTTGTAGAATCTTTTTTTTCGGAGATCTCAAAAGCCACGTGAGCATGGGCCTGGGCAACCTGCTTTAGGTGGCCCTGGTCAAGCAGGGGTTGGAGTAAATGACTCCTGAAAACCCTGCCAACTTCAACCACTCCGTGATTCTGTGAAAAGACACTGAATCCTAAATACAGCGTCATGAGAAAAAAATGCTGACGTGCACATCTTCAAGAGCCACTGGAGATTACCACATACATGAGAACTCATTTTGCAAGATTTATCATCTGTATATTGAAAAAAATTAATCCTTGTTTTCCCATGATATCAAACTCTCTTTCCTCGTTGCTACGGAGGAACACAGTGCTCAAGACATGACAGCAGTCTAGCAACTACTGTTCTCTGTTGAAGTTTCTAGTTTTCAAGAGCTGCTCCAAAAAACTTATACCAACACACCACACAGTGCATCAGGGTAATGCCCATCAGCTCTTCCTTTTTTCCTCCAAAAGCTGCTATAGTACATGCAGAGAAAATGCTTTACAAACCATTGTAGGACTTACCCCTGTACACAAGATATTCTCTTTTCCTCTGTCTTCTAAACCAAACTTCTGAGCCAAAATCAAGTTGGCTATTTATTATGAATTTACTTCTGTGTGAGAGGCAGTCAACTCAAAAAACTACCACCTCAGTGAATAACTGCAGTACTTCATACCAACATCTGTAATGTCTGTAAGGACCTTATACAGATGTAGCAAACTGCTTTGTTTCTGGCAGTATGCTTGAAGAATAAGACTCCGATTCTTGTCACTTAACTGATGGTCATTGTTCCTTTTATTCCTGTTAGGGTCATCATTCCCTGCTGTTTACCAGGCAAATTTTAATTAAACAGTTGTTGGATTATTCTCTTGGTGGTACTCGTGTTTATTATATTTTATCCCCTTTGACTGCACCCACACCCTTGAACACTACCTTGAAGATACAAACCTGACAGAAATAAAGAGATTTTTGCTGAAGTGTATAGTCTGAAGCTCTCTCTCTTATTTTTAATGTTAACAATTATTGCTGGGCTTCTCAGTTATGACAATGGCAGTGAAATAGTTACCAGATGTATTAAACAAAGATAATTCAGCATAGTGTATAATGGACATTATGCTCACTACAACATTAGAGCAGCAGGTAAAGACGCAGATGTTTATTTTACTTATGAATCTACCCCAGCAAGCATCATAACTCCCATTTACTCAGGGACTTACCAAAAGCTGAAGCAAAGCACGTGCAAAATTAATTCTGAGATGCCCTAAAATATGATCCCTGAATGGAAGCATTCTATCAAACACCAGAAGAACACAAGGACTGTTTTTCTCTACTTACCTTTTCTTTGGCTCTGAGCTGATCAAACATCTCTTGGATCTCTTGTTTCCAGTCTTCCTGAAGGGAATGGAAGGAATCTTTGGGCATTTCAAAGAAACCAGACTCTTCTATAGCGGTGAGATGGCCTAGGATACTGGCAAAGGAAGGTCGTGAGTGTGGGTCAGGGTTCCAACAATCTAGAACAGGACAAAGACAAGCAACTATTAAGCATCTCTTAGTAAGAAGGCTTGAGATGATGAGAGGTACTTTACTGATCCCCAGTGGCTGAGAATGGCACGTACACTGTGTTACTCTGTCTCCCATTTCTCTCTTTCATTGACTATTGTGTTATCATAAATCAAGTGTGGAATTTTTAAACTATCATCTGTACTTTGTGAGCACATGCAAGTAAGATGCCTATACACAATTCCTTTAACACATTTACACTGCAGAGCTACCGGTCGCTGTAAAAGGTATGTATCAGAGCCCCTTCCAAAGCCAAGCTGAGTCATTATGAATCTCTTCCACACAACAGAAAAACTCTCCTGCAAAGCAGCCTGGGCATACTTGGGTAAAATACTGGGCACTGTGACTGAAAACACAGGGTTCAAGTAGATTATGAAAACAGACAGTACATTTAGAGTTTTCTTATTTTTAAGGATTTTGTTTGTTACTATGAGAAATTTGTTTAATAAGGCTTCCCCCCCCAATTGCTTTTATGAGAAACCACAGATAAGATTTTTCATTAAACAGTCTAATGCACTGACTTAACCAACATAGAGCTATACAGAATTTTAGGTACCCTTATTACCACAAAGGGCAATTCCATTTGTGATGGTATGAAAAGGTTCTTCCTCTTACAGTGAGGGAAGCTGAACACTGAAAACAAATGGAAAAAGAAAACACTCCAGAGTAACACCACAATCTACGAAATCAAAATCATGTTTTTAAAAGTTACTAAATGAAAGAATTTGGCTTAGCAGTGCTTCTGAGTGTGAAATTATTACCCATTCCATCCTCTCTGACCTCACCGTTATTTTAACTCCTGCAGAAAACATATTTTGCTCATTCTATATTTTCCAATACTGGCACTTACACAGGTTATTCTTCAACATGTATCCTTACTCTTTTTAGTACTGCAAGATTCCTGCAAGTCAAACTTTGACAAGAACCAAACAGGAGATTTAACATTCTAACATTTCTGAAAGCTATGGACAACAGCTTTTGTGTCCAAGTGGAAGACACTAATATGTGGGTCTTTCTCAATACACTCATACTACCATTGCTCAGAATGGTCACTACGTTTGAGACATAAATTGCCACATTAAGAAGCAAGAATAATATAAATGTTCAAAAGTTTCCTGGACTTTACTGTCGGGGAAGAAGAGCAGTACTGTTCTTAAAAATCTCTAGCGAGGTCCTAAAAAGCATTCACTTAATCTGTTTTAAGGATTGAAATACATCAAGGAGCATCTGTGATTAAAAAACAAATAAAATTTCACAAAATCTGTGCAACTGCTGAGGCTTCTTTTTGCAGATCTTTTCTCTGCTTTGATTTTACTGTTACTGACATTTGGCATTTGGGAGCTTTGTTTTTGAAACTGCTGATACCAAGATGGTATTTAAGCATTTGATCAAGTTCCGGGAGGCATAAGCTGGAACACATTTGTCTTTGTGGATTTCAAATTGTTTCTCTTACCAAAACAGAGAATTAAGGATGTTAAAAGTGCTCTGAAGGTCCCCTGCTGCTGCTGACCAATTAGCAGCAATGGGTGATACAGCTGGACTGACAGTGGCATAATCTCTGCCCCACTAGCACAGGTTTTAAGCATGGCAAAGCAAACATGACCCAAAGTAAAACAAAATGCTGTGGCCAGCCAAATGCATGAATGAATGAGCAGGATAACTATGCAGGTGGCCCCTGGCTTTTTTTTTTTTTTCCCCTCCAGTCCTAGATCTGCCATTATTTGCACTAATGAGGACAGTTGAAACATACAAATCTTTTCTGTGAAAAGGTAAAGTTCAGCTTTGTTTTCTCACTGACGACCACCAGAGGAGTAATTCAAAAGCAAAAGCAGCATTAAGGAAACAAGAGTTCACAGAGATGGGAAATAGCCTGAAAAACAGTTCTAGTGAAGGGGCAGAAAGTAACTGTTCCTTTGTTCTCTTCTTCTCCCTGCACATGAAGAAGCCTAGCATTTCAGAGCCAAGGGTCCTTACCCCTGTGCTCCTGGGTTCAAGCACAGGCCACACGCCTCTATCCAACTTTCCCAGGAAGAAGGCTTTATTTTTAACACTACCAGCAGATAGACCACTTACATTTAAGAAATTCAGGGTCCCTTGTTTTAGGGAGCCATGCCAAAACAAACCACGATGGCAAAACACTGTGCTCTAATCTTTCATAAACTGGTTTCAGTTGCAGTTTCCTGTTTAACATTTCTTCCAATTTAATACACCTGCAACTCTGTTGCTGTTTACTGTCCAGCATACTTTTTTTTTTTTTTTGCAAAATAATACTTGAGATTTTCTACTTTAATTTAACTGAAGTCTGTCATCTACAGAAAACATAACTGAAAAAATATTCCAAGAGCAGAAAAATCCACCAGAAACATTTTCTTGCACAAAAATTCCTTCCTGAGGGCTAAAAACACCTCCGAAGGCCACAAAACCTAAGTTCAGCATTCGATGTCTGCGACACTACAATTCCAAATTATCCTGACAGTGGCCAGCAAGGTGTTCAAGCTACAACCTCCAAAACAAGTTGAAGGTTTTAAACTATATCAATATATGTCAAATTTTGGTGTCAGTGCATTTTCACTACAAGAAAACAAGCTAGATGATGACAACAATAGCCCACATAGTAAAAAATGGATGGGAATTTCATATATTACTGTTGTAACAGAATAACTGTTACAGCACATAAACAGCTATACTGAAGCACAGTAACTTGCAGCATCAAAAAATCCATCTGAGTAATTTATGCTCTTAGGTATCAAAACCAACACCAGGAGGCAATGCTAAACAGCACTCTAGGAACAGCATAAAATGTTCTAACCATACTCACACTAGAGCTGGCTTACCTTCCATTAGTTTGGCAAAAGGCTCTGGACACGTGGAAGGGATTGGAAGAGCAAGTTTATTCATGGCAACACCGTAGGCTACTGCAAGACCATCAATTCCTCGGAATGGCACTTCCCCTGTTAGCAGCTCCCAAAGCAGCACGCCATAACTAACAGGAAAGGGAGAAGAATGTAAGTGCCTGATTTTAATGCATCCTTGGTAAAGCAAGTTGACAGCATGTAAGCCTATCAGGGTGCCTCTGGTACACCAAAGAACTTACATATTTTTTGGATAAGTTAATTGTGGCTGTCTAACTGGCAAAGTTCTTTGTTTTACCTCTTTTTTTTTTTTTTTTTAATATAATGAAAACAAAGTAACCCCAGTGTGTAAATTAGAATATTTTTGCAAGAGTGCTAACATCTACGTTGACATTCAAAAATGCAAAATGTCTTTGTTGATAAATTTGGGAAATCTTTAAGGTTATTGAACAGGTTCACTTGAAAAACCATTTTTTGTTCTTTTATCATCCATATATGTTACACATGAACCAGACAGATAACCTGTGGGAACTTTAGAATTAATATTTGACTACACTGCAATAGAGGAATGTAAAGAAAAAGCTTCTTATCAGAGTAAGAATGAGAACTGAAATGTGAGGGGCAAATAAAGGTCACTTGAGGGGTATTTGTTCGTAACAAGCTGTGTATCAGCCTCTCTTTTCTCAACTGCTAACATTTTACCGAGAATTCCAGTGAAATTATCACATGTTAATCCAACAATCCTAACTTCTGCATTCCTATTTCTAGATTTATGATATGAATATCAAAAAATAAGATTAAGTAATATCAAGCAATAAAAGCAGGAATTTTTCTTATTAGATGGTGATAGCAATTATAAGAGGACAGAGGCTGTTAAGTAACATAACGCAGCAGATTCTTCCTCTTGAATCCTACGGTCAAAAAGGAAAAATCCATTACTAACATACTGATCCCCTCATCAGTCAGTTTTAAACCCAATAACAGCACAGAAAATCTTCATACTTTTACAGTTTCTAACTTTGCTTCGGTTTAAAAACAAAGGAAATGAGACTTCTGTAAAAACCAGTCCTAAAAAAATCAATCCCATTATCTGAATGCCTTCATTTCTTTACAACATCTGATTAAATTAAGGACTAACCATGAATTGTAATCATTTCTCTGACTAGTCCAAAACTGCACCTGAAGCAGTCAGGAGCCCTGCCTTACATCTTTAAGTAACCTTTGCACAACGGCAAAAATCTTGTTCATATAACATGGTAACTTCATTTTCTTGAGTTCAGGATATGATACAGTAAACCATCCAAGTCAAATCGGACACCGTCAGTCAACAGCAATACATTAATTTTAAAAAGTAAAGCTACCTCAGGATATTTGGTTTTATGTAGGTCACTCTTGAAGTTAATGCCTCCTATTTATATCCACAGCGACTACTACAGATACAAAGAACATAATCATACACTGTTTGAGTAAATTTTCAGCTATAAAACACTATTTTTCAACATAGCCACCACTACTAACTATGCATTTTTGTCACAATGGACATTGCCTGCATGCTGTGCTCATAAAAATCTGCACCACTGAAGCTGACCCATTGTTGCGCAGCTGCTTTCTTGGTGTCATTTCCTATCCATTTGCTCTGCATTTCCATTAAGCTTCCTTAAGAGATCCACCTTGACCATCATGAAGTTGTGCAACCACTCTTTTTGATTTTTTTAAGCAGAATTTCTCAATATTGTTACTATTCTCCTTCAGATTAGAGCACTACTCTACCAGACTTCGTCACTGCTCTTGCAAAGACATTAAGCCAAAGCATGTATTTTTTTTAACAACTGGCACACCGCACTGTCTTGAAGGCCTCCTAAGCACACCTGAAGATCAAGAGCTTTTCCTCCTAAAAGCTCCCTGAATAGCTGTCCCATGAAACAGTAACCTTGGTAGCTAAAATATGCATCTATTCTTCATGGCTCAAAGTGTCATTTGCTCTACCCATTTGGAAGTAATCATTTTTCATCACCACAATCTATTTTTGCCATCTCCCCATCCCACCTCTACCAAGACGTTTTCCTTGTAACTGCAGTCACCCAAGTTGGAAACTCTTACTGATAACTTTTTCTATTTAAACGTGAAATAAACCTGAGTTGCTAAGGATTCCATCTTTACTGCTAATATAGCCTACGTTTTAAAAACAAAAGACCACTTTTCCATCTACACAACCTTTTGAATTTTTTCCTATATAATTCACACTTTTCATAATATAATGTCCCATCAACTATTTCTTTCCATCATTTCTTACTACAATAATTGCCTCACTTGAAAAACAGAAACAGGAGTTTAAAGACCAGATTTTCTTTTTGACCTCCAAGGATGCATAAAAGGCACACTGAAAGAAAATGAATACTGGGCTGAATGAATACAGGACTTGTCCTATTTAATACTGATTGCTCATGATACTCTTCAGAGTTGAGAGCTTTCAGAGTTTTGATATCAAAAGTTAACTCTTCGGTAGACTGTCCTATTACTTTACCACTTGTTCTGAATAAAGCAGGAATTAGATACTTCCCCTCATGGAATTGTTAGGAAAACGCTACTGATATGCTCAAAACATTTCTTATACAGGGCATATGTATATATATATTTAAGATTAAATATAGATCTGTCCATTTATTTTTTTTAAATATGACACAAGACATACATATTGCAGGAAAGCAGGTTTGTTTCTTGGAGAACCTAATGGCATCCCTTTGTGCCTATTAGCTGACTTGTAGTCACTGAGCTAAATAGCCAGTCTAGTCTAGCTAACTAGGCTGAGAATACTGCTTTCACATAACTAGTGGCATTTTAACAAAGATCATCCCAAGTGACTAAGCAACAAGAGAGCGGCTGCTGAGAAGAGTATTCTCCATTCATTCTCTAGCAAAGGATTATAATGAATTATAAAGCAAAAGAACTGAGATTTCCATGAAAAGGGCCTGGAAAGAAAGAATCAACGAGTTGCGCTTATTATCAACTGGGAGGAAAGATCATTTATTTTTCCAGCATCCACTAGTAGTTTTTGGACTTTAATTACAAAATGAACCACGTGATACACACCATGTGTTCAAGTCAACTGACACTGAATAATTAACCATTTCCCAGTGATCCAGTAATCCCTTAAGCCATTTAACATCAGTTTCAATCTTACACGTTGGATTCTGTGGAAGGAGGAGGCTGGAGGTCTGCAGGATTTCAGATGTCATTTTGCCACCTCCCTCACCAATCTGTGAACTTTTTAAAAAAAAAAAAACCCACTGAATTCCTCTCACTATTATTGTTCAATGGCATTTCCACCGTAGGTTCCTATTCTGCACTGCCCTTGGTGCAGCACCTTCTATAATAAAGCCACTATCAACACACCATGGAGACACAAGCAGCAACAGAAACTAGAATATTACTCTCGCTAGGACAAAAAAAAATTGAACTCAGTTAAATTTTTAATGGTAATTAACAGTACTTCTGCACATTATTCCTGGTAGTTCCAGAGTTTACATGTAGTTATTTCACAACTGTCAGTTACGTATGATTTTCTCACATGAATTTCTAACAGTACTGTTAGTCAACCATTATCCGCCAGGAATTGGTATCTTGCCAGTGCTTCACTCCACACAGAAGTCTACAGAAGCCTGCAAGCAGTCAGGTGAGGATGAAAGTGCTTGCCAGCAATCGATTCAAATGAAGTATTCCAGCGACCAAAGTATCTACATCACTGAATGCATGAAATAACTTGATCTGCTAATCAGGTCTTTTTTGTTAGCTTTGGTATTCCATTCCCAAATAGAGATTCAATTCCTAATCATTTAACTGGTCTCAGAGTAGATAATTCTAAGATGAATCTGAATTGAGGAACCTTAGGAACTCAGATGAAGGCTGTAACGTTGCGCCTTATCTTCTTCATATGATGACAACACTACCTTCTTTAAAGCTGCACAGGTCGAACATGAAGTTGGTAGTAAACAAAAAATTTAAATGGCATGGAAATTTGAATTTGATTCCTACAAACATCTGCTTGCTGTGCAATGCTGGATAAACTGTCATATCTGCACTTCATTTTCATCCCCAAGAATCCAAAATGGATTCCTAACTCTCCTCTCAAGCATATCGCTAGACTTACAGGTGCTGTCTGACACTTACACAAAATGGTAGCTTTTGTCCTCTGTGCAACATAAGCACAAAGTTTCTGTTATACACCTAAAATTTATGGGTGAGGCACAACAACTTTCATAGCAAGACAGACTATAACTAGCAAGATTCTCAAAGTGCTATTATTGTCAACAAGCTTTACAGTAGCCAAGACCATGGTGATAGTAGTGGCAGACATCAACACATGGGAGTATTCCTCTGCCTTCTCACGTTCTTTGCTGGCATTTCTGTAGAATGGGGATTTTTGTTGTTGTTGTTAAGAGTTTGATACATTATTGAAAGGAATTGTACAAATACGTTATTTATGACAGAATAAAAGACTGATTCAGGAAATTTCAGTGTTGGCAAGCACCTTCTTCAGCAGCTACCTGCATTTGTACAGAGGGAACAGATACACAATAAGATTCTTGTTGAAAAGCTGGGCAACAATTCAGCCACTAGTATTATTCTAACAAGCTTTCCAACAAAAGTGTTGAGATAAAAGGTGCTGTGATTGTTAGGAACAGAAATATTCCAGTTTTGTTGATAGTACACAGACCACCTAGAAGGTCTTTTATCAGTCAGAAATCACTCTCAACACCAGTGATTAACCAAGAAGCTGAAGTGTACAAGAATCAAATCAAACAGGATTTAAAAATTTCATTCTGTTCACAATTTCAAGTTGTGCCCATGGGTGGGGAAAGGATTTATAACATACGTGCACTGCTGCCTTCACAAAAATCAAGTGCTTAGTCATTGACACAGTGGGTAGTGACTATGCTGGCAAGCATCTACATAGATGCTGCAAACACCATGTCTTTTTTAGCTTATTTCAGTATAATTTGAAGTTTTGGCCATCTCAGTAGAGGGCTTACCCAGAGACAATATATCATAGCACTTTCAGTGATGATTACCCTGCTTAAGGAAAAGTACTGAGAGGAGTTCAACCTGCTTTCAATGAAAGACTGCTAACTATAAAGAAATCACTATAAAGTGACGAAAATTTTAGAAATTTACTTCTGAGAAGCTGAGAAATATTTACACATGATTTACAGTCTAAGTTAGTCAATTACCAGACTGATATTTTAGCACAGATATAGAGGCTCTTAAATTACCCTCACAGAAAGACTAAACTGACCCTTAAAATATAGAGGCCATATTGGAGCAGAGCATCTTGTGATCTGTTCAGTACACACAGACTAGTAAAGTTACAGTCACAGAGGAATTGTTTCCAGCTTTCCTTCTTCCTTCCTCCCTCCTGCCCTTAAAGGCAATTCCTGGCACTGTTTCAGAGGAGAAAAATTACAAACCAGTACTGTCAGTTTGTTATTTCTGCCAGAATTCATTCAGAGTAAAAGCCTAGTTATTTCACAGTTCCTCCCAGATTACTAATAGGGGTTAGTAGGCACATTTAATGATAGTCTTAAGTCAATCCATACCAATACGTGCAGAACAAGCTCACATTTATGCATAAAAGGAAATAAATTATCTATCTATTCTGCATAACTAGATAAGTAAAATAAGAACTCCGCACCAAATATCTTCTGTAACAGCCACATAATTCTTCCAGCTGGAATATTTCTTCCTCCTGGCATATTTCACAGCATGCACATACTTCATGAGAGCACTGATAATTAATGAGAGATTTTTATGGCTCTAAAGACCTGGTCAATTCAACATTTCAATACCTCTGCCCCATGCAGGAAAACAAAATTCTACCTACTTTGTTTCAGATTTTTAGTACTAATTTGTGTCTCACAGTATCCAGAAATGTCATTATCCTAGGACAACAATGAGCTGTTTATTGAATTCTGGATTTAATTCACTTAAGAGACATAATCAAACTCTACTTTTTTCTATGGGCCAATCCTTATCATAGCAGCTCCTATCCACCAAAGTAGTTCCTATTCTCAAAAATCACAGTTCCTAAACAGAAAAGACAATGCACACAAATTACTACTCATTGATCACATACTCAGACTGACCTGCAGAAGAGATGTGTTGTTTTATGCAGAAAGAGTAGGAAGTTATAAATAATTCATGAGTTCATTATGAAAGTGAAAAAAACATTGTGCTCAAGCTAAAACTGCAGGGAGAACTTCGTGAAGCACTGTGCAATTGTGCACATATGTATTGTGACAAATTGTAATCAAAATTAAGTAATCTCAATCTTGGGAAATCTTAAAAAAAAAAAAATCAGCAACTTTAAGTACTTCACAGCTCAGTTTTATGTCTTTATGATAGCCAATAGTTAAATGGAGGCTATGAATCCTAGGATGAAGGTAAATGCAAGGAACAACAAAAATTTGGAAGCACACAGGAGGTGATCCACAAATTTCTGCAGGGAAAAAGCGTTTACAATTAATACCAAAGCAGTCTCAAAGTCAGGTTCATGGAAAGCCAGTGGATGGTTTTCTTAACCCCAGAATTTTAATATTTGCTTCATCACTCATTCTCAAACAAAATACATTTCCTAGCAGGTCTTCAGTATCCAAACACTTAATGCCAAATCAATACCTCCACACATCGCTGCCTTTGGAGAACATGGAGGAGCGGATGACCTCAGGAGCCATCCAGGCATAGGTCCCAGCTGCACTCATTTTGGTAGTTTTATGCCATTCCCTGGCCAAGCCGAAATCCGTGATCTTCAATATCTTGTTGCTCAGATCTCCATTTTCCACCTTTTCGAGTATCAGTACTGGAGAAAAGGGAAGGGGATAAAAAGTATGCAAAGTAAGACTAGTATTTATGTAAAAAGGTCTTACTGAAGATCTCTCGAAATTCAAGATTCTTCCTGACTTTTAGTTATTCAAATAACCCATCTTGTTACATGTTATTTCAAGCTAATCTTGTCATGAGATAAGTGAAAAACTGTCTAGCAAATAACTTCAAATCTAAATGGAATACCAAACCTCAGAGAACAAACAAAACTATTTAATATAGTAACTAGTGTTTCTCTGTATATTCCTCTACTAAGAGGAAGTGAACCACTGTAACATCTAGAAATCCAGATAAGGGAAGACATTTCCTAATTAATCCTCTCTCAGCAAGCCAGTAATAGAATTGTTTTCTTGAACTGCTTAGAGGACTTTTTTTTTTCTTTAATCCAGATACACCCATAGGCTGATATACCCCTTGAGTAAATACATTAAGAGCACAAACTCTACATCTGCTTTTTCTTAATTCCTAACTAAAATAAAGATTGGTGAACATTGATAACATGCCCAGACCAAAACTTCATCAACTCTCCCCCCTCAAACTTCAGCGAGGAACAAAAGAACCACAAGACACAGAGGAACGGAAGCAAGCTTTGTTCAGCCCTCATCTTCCAGCTTACTTTTTCTATTATTATTTCTAGCAGCTGAAGAATTGTTAATAGAAATTCTCAGCAAGTCTCCTGATTGCAAGAGTGAACAACTTTCCTAAGTCTCATGCTCTTTTTCTTCTACAACGTACTGATTGCGCCTAAATAATCAGCAGAAATAATATGAATTTTAAATTTAAAAACAACAATAGAGTTACGATGATGATGTAAAAATAAAGAAAAACTCCAAAGCAAACAAAGAAAACCATGGGTATGGGGCATGTTTTCACTTCCATCCAGGAGCACAAGCAACAAGATAACCTGCACTCTACAAGGCAGATCATACGGTGGGAGTCAGCTCAATAGCAGGACAAGGGGCCAGATATCACAGTTTGGCTTTACAGACCTTCCTCGAAAGAGATTATCTAAATCTAATTACCTTTCTCTATCGTAGAGCTAAGAAAATAATTAGTACTTACACAGACCTTTTGTATCCATAAACTGGTCCTTTTGTCAGATATAGGCCGTAAGATAAATTAACATAACAAAAGGCCACAGAGAAGGACAATAAAAGAGCTGCATTTACTTCAAGTCCTTAATTCCTTGGTTAAATCCTTGGTTCCCCTCTTATTTCCCCATAATAATGAACTCTGCAACCTCAAATTACATAAGTTAATTTTAAGAATTAAAGCTCTCTCTAGTATCTGAAACAGTTCTCCTCACCGTGGTCAGTACCAACAGGCTCACTTCTGACTGTCAAGAATCTCTCCAGCCTATCTGTCAGATTTTCAAGCCCAAAGCCTCAACTCTCTCTCCTGTACTCATTCAGTTTTCAATGAAGTATCTTGTAAATAGGTGAAATATCAATTCCTTTCAGTTTCCCCCTTAATCTCCTTTATAGTGAACACAAGCCAGGTTGCTAGGACAACACACACACCATATTGATCTGCAAAAGTGAAATGCCTCTTTCTTGTGAGCTTGATACATAACCAGTTATTGCCTCCCATTTAAAACTTTTAATGCAAGTCCTCTTCTGCAAGTACCACATCTTCTGCACTTACTAGAATCTAGCACAAATTGCAACACAGGTAAGATACTCCCCACATTTGCAGCAGTTGCAGAGTTAACTTACTTACCTTGCCATCATCTGCAAATAGATGTGACCACTTGGAGCAGAACTGTTGCCAGATACAGTTATTTTTAAGAAGTCAACAGAAACATCCAGAGAGAGCATCTATACCAAAAACCCAGCTAGCCTACCTGGTGATTAGCAGCAAGTCACCAACACCACGTTTGTTGCCTAAAGTGTAGCAAAGCAAAGCATGGAGGTTTAAAACAAGTTGTAGCAACTTTAAGTGAGGGATATCTCATGGAACGTGTACTGATAAGAATAATAACCCAGAAGCACTACATAAATTTGCATATATTCCTGAACTATTCCTTTGAACTTGTCCTTCGGAAAATAAGTGCTTGACAGGGAGGAATTCATTATAGCTCAGATGAATCCTGCCCAGCAAGCCAGCCCTTCTATATCGCAAGGTGCCCCAGTTGAGAGAACAAGAATGGATCCAAATAGACCCTATTAGCTCCTAGCAACATCTGCCCTTGATGAGGCAGTCATGAAGACAAATGCACATCACTTAGATATGTCATTTGCACTACCAGGATTTTAGTATTAACTTCATTACAAGGACTGAAGAATCATTACTGCTCATGATTCAGTCCCACTGTTCAACTTCTTAAGAGTCAGCAAAATGCCAGTCCTGAAAGACAACAGGCAACCACGACACTTTACAGCTGAGATAGACAGATGAGAAGGTACAAATTAAATGCTGGGCCTCCTCTTATGTAGGTAATGAAGACCAGACTTCTCTCTCAGAAATGAAAATTCCTGTTGAGATTCTCAGTTGCTCTTTAAGAATACCTTTTGTCCCTTACAAGAAGCACGGAGGATACCTCGACATCAGTATCTTGTGAGAAAGTTGCCTGGCATACAGGGAAAAGTTTGCATCACACAGAGGTGAGTTAGGTAATGAGTTAACATTTATTGGTTTGACAATAGACGGACCAACAGGAAGAAAACTGTAAAGTGGAATAAATACAAAGACCGTTTGACGGGACTCTGGTGCAGTGTCTAGTCATTCTGTCTGACATGACAGCAAGTCAATGAACTACGTATTGCTAGAGCTAAGAAAACCTGCCTTTTATTGTTTTCAGTACTTTTCAGCATGCTTGCTCCATGGTGCACTAGATAGTGCAAGATTAACAGCTGAAAGGACAGAATTAAGACTGCTTTGGTCTAATGAGACCTTTAAGGACAGTACTAAATGTGGAGTTTCATGTTAGAATATTAAAGTTTTACTGGCAACTCACGAATTTTCACTACCATGTTTAATGTGCAGATTATACATATCTAGGACTATTTTGTGTTCATTTTCACATTGAAAATATCAAAACTTAAAGCTGCTAGTTTTCTTACTGAACACTGCACTAGTTCAACATAACAGTGGTTGGTTCTGACCAGACACAACAGAAGTGTAAATGGATTCTGAAGATACACAAATTAAAAACATACCAATTAAACGCTAGTCAGGTTTCAACTCTGCCATGAACTATAAAACCAGAGAAAGGTGGAAGGCAGATGATGAACATTTTCATAGAGACTAAGTTCTGTCTTGCAAACATGAAAGAGATGCACACCTCCCATAGCTTCACACATTGAAAAGAGGGATTTTGCCACCTTCACACTCCATCCCTTCTCTATCCCCACAGATGATAACAGTAAAAGTTGGCTTGAATGAAACAAACTCACATCATCCCAGACAGCAGTCTTCCCAGGCTCCCACTGTTACCTAAAGTGACAGTCTCTCCAAAAAGAGATTTGAAGCCTAAACCTAATATACATACCCAAATTACTCTCTAAAGAGACCTCTTACGAGCAGAGGCACACCTGTGTCAAGTTTCACACTCAAACCATGTGAATCTCTCCTCAACAGCTGCTGGAACATCAGAGAGCCATCTGGTGAAAGTCAATATACTCATAGCTGCAAAATTTTGTCAGTGCTCTGAAATTCTTTTAATTAAAGTTTCCAGAAATATATTGTTCTATTAGGAGGACAGCAAATCTAGATCAGAATAGTACTGTTGTTACATTAGTCTTAAATAGAACTGTCCTTGGTACCACATAGGACAAAATAAGTATTTTAACCTGCACCCATAACACCAAAGAACTGGTAGGAAGTGGCTCTCCACTGTCACCTAGTTTCGACCGTAAGACGAAATATAGTAAAATATATATATAGTAAATATGGCTATGGCATCTCTTCTTCTGATTTCTGGAAGTGCTGAACAGAACTCATCTTCAATTAGGCTGAAGTTCATTATCACTTCAAAAGCAGTGTGCTCCAGGAGATCTATTATAGGATGATCATTCATTGTAAAAAATATCACATTTTTAGAAATGAAGATAGAAAAATAAGGGTCTCCTACACACTCAGAAAACAGAAAAATCCTGACTTGAAATAAAACTCATTAAGACTGAACAAGAAAAGTAACATTCCCCCATGTTGCCACAATAGCTAACCAAACTCGCCGCCACTCTCATTATTTCATGACACAGCTCTATCAACAACTTCCTGCTCCCCTCCCCGGTGCATATTATTAAGAAACAGGAGAGAAATCAACAAATAGTTTCTTTCATGGTCCAGCTTACAGTTAACTCCAAAGAATAAAAATTTACTAGCTAAATTTACAGCCTGAACCTCTGATTGACCACCTGAGGCAAGCAATGTGTCAGCCATGGGAGCAGAAGTGAAGGCAATTCATCCGTGCTGCCGGAAGGGGTGAAGCCTGGCTCCACCTCTCCAACACCAATTAAGAGCTGACTGCCAGTGGGGAAGGATCTCTTTTGGAGATGGCTCCCCTTGGATTCTTCTCAGCGAGCCCAGGATAAGGGTAAGCTTTCCTTCCATTCATCTTTAGTGTGATAACCTGTTTAGCCTAACTTTCTTGTACATTTCTTAGTTATAACATCCATATATTCATTGATTATACATTAATGAACATTAAGTCTGATGGGAATGGCTGACAATCATTAACTGAAGGGAGGTTAAAAAAAAAGAAATGAGGACTTGAGTATACAATGAGAATCAAAAACATACAGGAAGAAATAAGGAAGGAGGCTAGAAAACCAGGGTCTCTACTCTGAGGGTAGAGAAGAAAGCTGGGTTTGTTGTCTATGATACGCTGGGATTATCACTGATTAAAAGGCCTGACTGATGACCTCACATTTATACTTGCAAGTAGTTTTTGTGCAATAAAGACAACAGATCACAAAACAACAGAACTATTAACTAGTGATAAAACAACACTAAACTGTGTGAGCCACTGTTATA